ACACAAGAGCAAAGCAGAAATTCCAATGATATGTTGCAATTTCGAAACATAGAATTGTATAGTACAATCTTTAGATTTCAGGAAGATGTAACATCGGCCTCATAAATAGCGAAGAAGAACAAACTGATACTGCTGGTGTCAACATTATACTATGGTAGAAATATCAATAGGGAAACCTCAGAAAGCCTGAGAAGGTCTGGGGAAATAGCTCAGTGGTCTAAGCACCTGCCTGGCAAGTGCAAGGACCCAAGTTTGAACCCTGCTACCGCATCTATGCCTGCCAGTCCCTGGAACCTTGGGTATGCTGTGCTGGCCCTGAAACCAGGCATGGTAGTACATGTCTGTAATCCCAGCACTGGAGAGGCTGGGACTGGAGAATCACTATGAGTCTGAGCTACATGGCAAGACCGTGTAACTAACAAACAAACAAATTGAAATGTTCATTAAAAAAAAAAAAAAAAGACCTGAGAAGGAAGCTTTCTACAATAGAACCAAAGGCAGAGTAGATGTTGTGGCTGAGTTATACAGCAACTATTATGTCACTTGAAGTGCACAGCATTGGCCAATGATTGTGTTTTATTCAATCCTAAACATATGTGTCATAAGTAGTTTGATAGTTTATGAAGAAAGGAACAAGTGCAAGATACCATGAAATTTTCTTAGAGGATTGGAACTGAAATAAGGTCTTGAGTTATGACCCAGATGCTGGCCACTCGTGCAGTTGTAAAGAAAGACTCACAATGCCAGAAATAAGCATCAGTCTGAGCCTAGATGCATGTGTTTGTGGGCATGATTTTGATCAGTGCTTTATGTAATTGCTATGATTACTGCTACCAAAATGGCCCCCAAAGAGCCAGAAAAGAAGCTAAGGAAGAAAAGGAAGGTAAACAAAACAAAACAATCACAACTGAAAAGAACAGTGTTAAAGAAAAGACACATAGACCATTTTAAACCAGTTTTAAGTTCCGAAAAAATTGAGACCTGGTGAGCCAGAAGCAGGTCGTGGTGGTTTACAGACTCTCCTAGGAGAGAAAGGACTGCAGAGAGCCAGACTCCTGATGTTCTTATGGAAGGGGACTGTCCTCCCAAACAGTAACCACCTTCCACTTCATCCTCCTTCCCTGCAAGCCGAAGGTGTCAACTTGAATGGTTAGTACAGTTTGAAATTGTTGTTTCTGATAAAGTAGGCACATTTTATAACTGTTTTACACTAGGAAAATCATACAACCCTTTTTTATTATGAATAGGTTAGTTAACAGGTGCTTTGGGAGTTTTGTAATGCATTATGGGTATTTCTATTCTTTTTTTTTTTTTTTTTTTTTTTTTGGTGGAACCAGGGATTGAACTCAGGCCCTTGCGCTTGCCAGGGAAGCGGCTTATTCTACTGAGCCATCTCCCCGGCCCCTGGTATTTCTATTCTTAAGGGAAAAATAAACCTGACTTACAGTCAACTTGAATTACAACCAGCCCTCAAAAACAAATTGAGTTCTTAAATCAAGGGTCCACTGTATTCTTTCTGTAAAGCGCCATTGGTATTTTAATTTTGATTCATATAAGATTTTGTGTTGTTCTTTTTTAGACGTTGTACCCAGAAAGTCAGTGTTGAACATTTTGATGCTTTTTTATAAACACTAAATATTAAAAATTCAATATGTTATTTTTGTGATTTTAAGTGCCTAATATTTAATATAATAAAACTCAAAAGTTAAAGCTAATAATTCATCAGTAGAAATACTCTAACGAATAAACGTGGGTCTGATAGACCCATGTTTCTACACCTTTAGAACTAAATTAGTGTTATGTTCTGCAGACTCCTGCAATAATGGTGTCCATCAACCCTCACATCAAAGTTCTCCATAGAAACAGAAGTGGCTATGGAAGAAGGGTCTGCGCAGAGGGAGGGGAGCAAAGAGAGACAGGTTTGTAAAGAGTTGGCTCCTGCAGTCATAGCAGTCCTAAGTTGAAAGTTCAAAGTATGAGGCCCAGCCAGATAGCTCAGCAAACTAAAGCACCTGTTTAGGCAGAGCACTGGTTTGATCCCCAGTGTGCTATGCTGGCCCTGCCTGGGCTCAGATGGTGATTGAGACTGGGCCTGGTGGCACGTGCCTATAATCCCAAAGCTTGGGAGGCTGAAAACAGGAGAATCACTACAAATCCAGTTTGTGTAGTGAGATCCTATAGACCCTGTACTAAATATATATATAAAAAGAAAGAAAGTTCTAAGTAAGTAGGCAGGTGAGCATGCTAGGGAGCTGGGAACATCGTGACTGTGATAAGATGGAACTCCTGATACCACTGTCAGGGCAGGATTGTTTCTCTTTCAGGGGACCTTGGTGCCTCTGTCTTCTGTCAGATTGGCTGAGGCCTGCCTGCTGTATGGAGGGTGATACAGATATCTACTGCGTCCTAACACCTTTGCCTGAGCACCTGGATTGACATTGGCCTAGAGGAGGTAACAAAATGAGCAACTGTGCTCCAGCATGCTCTAGGTCTGCAGACAGCAGCTTCCCAGCTGCCACTCGCTCTTCCTCCACAATGTGGTGGCTACACAGTGCCATCTCAGTGTCTGTTTCCTGCAACCACTCCTAGTATCGGTTCTGAAAGATCAGGATTGAGCAGCTTTGCTACAAGGGACTCATCTGATCAGGGGTGGCCCTGTGGAGCAGGGATCCCCATAGAGTTGTCCCAGCTCAGAGAGGCCAGGCATTGGTGCCCCTGCCCTTTGCAGCTGCCAGCTGAGGGCATTTCTGTGAAGTACTCTGCCCAGGAGCTGGCAGAATGAGGACCTCAGTCTTGAGGTGCAGATCTGGGTGGCAAGCTGCAATATCCATACCATAGAACCCTGTCTGCTTTTTAAAAATCCTAGCTTTCATAGCCAGGTATAGTGGTGCAAGCTCAAGCTTTGTTGGTGATGGTTTTTGTTTGTTTAAGTGTATTTGATATAGGGTCTCACTACCCAGCTCAGACTCATAGTGATCTTCATATTTTCAACCTCCCCAGCCCTGGGATTACAGGCATATGCCACCACACCCAGTCTATTTGTTGAATTTTGTTTTGTTTTGGTTTTTTGTATTTTAGGGAAGGGTCTACAGGGTATTCAGGGTCTCACTACTAGATCAGACTGGTAGTGTCTGGTTACAGCCTCCCAAGCACTGGGATTATAGGTGTGTACTGCCACACCCAGTCTCAGTTGCCATTTCAGAGTGCCCTGGGGGCGAGGCCAGCACGGCCAGCCTGGGGATCAAACCCCTGGCCCCTGCACCTTCTTGCAGGCGCTTTAATCCACTGAGCTATTTGGCCAGCCCTGTTTGTTGAATTTTAAAAAGTAATAGGATGTGCTTACCTGGCAAGCACAAGGGCCTGAGTTCAATCCCCGGTTCTGCAAAAAAAAAAAAA